TAAATAATAGATGGACTATTGCATATCAAACGAGATAGAACTTTTGTAAACTGAAAAATAGGTCAGAGCTAATATAATTATGGTTAATTAGTAGAATCCTATAAGCCCTTGCAATTCATGTTCATAGTTTAGCCAAAAAAAAAAAGTAAATTTTTACAGTTGGGTTATTGAAAACAACCAGCATGAGTACAGAATGGGTGATTTTTAATAACAGCCTTTCTGTTTCGGTTGGTTGCAATTTTAAGAAGAGTCAAAGGTGACCAAAGTGGCCAGAACAGTCTTGACTGACACGGCTATTCTCCAAAAACAGAGGCGTGGCAGGGCCCCAGCAGCTGCCTGGAGGAGCAGGCGTCTGAAATAGTAGCTTCAGCTGTGGTTTCTGGGCATGCAGGAGGGGCCTGGAAGCCACAGCTGAATGAGTACAGACAATAGCTTGCAAACCAGAGGGAGAAGGGCACTCTCTCTCTTTAAATAGGAACAAAGCCATCAGAAAAAAAGCTTTAGTGGTCACAAAGTGGATGGGTGGTCGTGAACTATCGGAAAATCTATGATTAATGGGAGATGGGAGCCTGAGGATGGAGGTGCTTGAGCCACAACCCCCAGAATGCCACACTCGGTGGATCTTTTAAGTCACACGGATAAGGTGTGACTTAAGGAGGTATTAAACCCTCCTTTGGCACTTCCCAGCTCCAGGGACGGACGAGTGGCTCAATCTCCCAACTTTGCTTGCCTCCTCGCACATGGGGAGATCACTCCGATGACTAGGAAATCGTTGGGATGAAAGACAACACAGGGATTCCAAAAATGCAGCTTTTCACTTTAATAATCTCCAAAGGTGTTATATTATTCTATTACTACACTAACTCAGAACTTACTTAGTGACCTCCCATGCATTTACACCAAACATCTTTTGAACACTTTCCTTCTGCCCATGACCCCTGTGCTTAACCAGCTTCGAGGATTTTGAAGAATACACGTAATTTTTCTTTTTTTCTCAGACAACATATACTATGTTCACTCAGAGGGATCAAAACAAAAGCAAAAATTAAAACTAAAAATGTGTTCTTCAAAATTGGCAACGCCATATGAGTTAGTAAGAAAGGCATTTACCACAACGTTTGGAGAATGGTCTTGGCCGTGGTCTTGATGCGTCCGAAAGATCTTGAACCCCAAAGCCCGCAGTAGGGCTTTGGGATGCCCACTGGCCCCCAGAAGTCCTTCAGTTGGCCTATAGCTCCTTCAGGATTCATCTTATTTCTATCCTCTCTCCATAAAACTTATGGACAGGGACCCTCTAGGACACCTGGCATCCTTCCACTAGCAAGCAGTTTGGGTCACAGGGATTTGGAAGTGGCTTGTGTCCAAGAAAATAGCATCCACTAGCGCTATGACTCAGCCTGGGGCTGCCCAGACCCTCAACAAAGCCATGGTCACTTCTGCGTGCTCTGGGGGAACAGGGACACTTAGAGGCTCTTCTCCCCGGTAGATGATGGCTGTGGACCACTCAGCTCCCTCAGCGCCCTCCACCAACACTCATACTCAGCAAAGAAGCCCTCCACGCATGCCTCAGGTCACCTCCAAAGATCCCTTTAACCTTGGGGCCATTGGACCACCCTGCCCAGTAAGGAAGTTTTAGGTATCGGCTCTCAAAGATTCTATTCCAGCCAATATAAATATTCCAGCCAGTGGCTTCGGTCTTCATGTCTTCCTGTCTCTCTTTGATCCACTTGCTCTCTACTAGTTAACCCTTTCACATGGAAACCTGGTGGTGTAGGCAGGAAAGGGGCACTCCTTCCCCATTCGATTGGGAAGACCGTTTCCCATTTGTGAGATAGAGCATGCTCACAGAAGAGCAAAGAGTAGCAAGCTCTAAAAGACCCACCTTCTTGGCCACAGCTTCCTGGCTGACAAAAGCAGACGCAAGAGCAAAGTGGTGCACAACTCTTATTGCTACACACAGCAAGAGCATCAAGGGAAACTTGTTCCTGGCCACCAAGACCTTTGGGTGATGCGGTGGGCTGGGATGGTGGCTGTGCACGCGGTGGGTTGGGCTGCAGGCCCGGACCGGGGAGAAGGGCTCAGCACCTTTTGCAGCAAGTGGTCCTCAGTACGTGTGCTCATGCTGGTTGTTTTGGGGGTGGGTCCATCTGCCTCTGCAAGACACCATATGCAACTGCTTATAAAACCCTCAAGAAATACTCATGTATACCGTGCCATGCCTTTTGGTGCAGGGATCCCTGTAAGCACCGTCTTGACGGGGATGTTTGTGTGTGGTTTGCGCAGGACACCCAATATCGACCGGCTTGCAGAGGAAGGTGTGAGGCTCACCCAGCACCTGGCGGCCGCCCCCCTCTGCACCCCCAGCAGATCTTCCTTCCTCACGGGGAGGCACTCCTTCAGATCAGGTCAGTGTTGTGGGGACAACTGAGAAAGGGGCACGTCTGTGTCCACTCATTACTCGTCCTTAATATTATCAGCGATGGTTGAGATCCAGGGAAAACGGTGCAGATAGAATCTGTGGTGACATCACCTAGAACTTACATAAAGAATCCTGTGAAAGAATCCTGTGTTTGAGGTAGTCAGGCGATGATTTGGTTGACTGGGAATTCAGAGTGGAACTCTCCAAGGGTAGCTGGTTATGGTTGACATTGTGTTTATTTGTTTAAATATTTTAGTCGGTCTTGATGTGTAGTCATGATTTCAGACAGGCTCTGAGAGCATGTAGGGGGCTGAATGATGGTCCGCAAAGACCCCACATCCTAATTCCCGGGGTGGGTGAATGTTTCCTTATATGGCAAAGGGGACTTTGGAGATGGGATTAGGTGAAGGATCTTCGATGGGAATGTCATCCTGGATTATGCAAGTGGCCCAGTGTCATCACAAAGGCCCTTCTAAGGGGAAAGCATTAGGGTCAGAGTCGGAGAGGGACAAGGAACAGCTTGGGGAGATGCACTGTGAGGCTGCAGGAGGGGGGCCCTGATTTGTTTGTCCGTGTCTGCTTGAGCTGAGTGCATGCACACCCTGTGACCCAGCAATTCCTAAGTAGGCGCCCAACACGTACACACAGGCACGTTCTACCAAAGACGGAATGAGGACGTTCACAGCAGCACTGTTTGTACGGCGCAAACACGGACACAGTTCATCAGTGGAAGAGTGGATTAATAAACTGGCACATTCACATACTGGAATGCTGTCGTCTTAGTCTGTCCGGGCTGCCGTACGTAATACCACAGAAGGACCAGCCTAAACAACAGAGATCAATTTTCTGACCATCTGGGAGGCTGGGGGTCTGACCTCCAGGCGGGGCTGGAGGCTGGGAGTCCGAGATCCAGGCGTGGGCAAGGCTGCTTCCTCCTGAAGCCTCTCTCCATGGCATGTAGACTCTGCCTCCTCCCTCTGTCCTCACGTGGTCGTCCCTCTATGAGTGTCTGTGTCCTCAGCTCCTCTTCTTATAAGGACCCCAGGCCTATGGGATCAGAGCCCATCCCGATGACCTCATTTTTACCTCTTTAAAGACCCTACCTTCAAACACAGTCACGTTCTGAGGTGCTGGGGGTCAGGTCTCTACGTGCAAGGTGCTAGTAGCAGCCACTCTCCCCACCGAGTTGTGACAACCAAAAATGTCTCCATGCATTGCCAAATGTTCCTTGGGGGGCAGAATTACCTTTGGTTGGGAACCATTTCATAGACAGATCATGGATAGAAGATATAGATAGACAGAGATAGATAGATGGATAGGTAGATAGATAGATAGATAGATAGATAGATAGATAGATAGATAGATTGATAATAGATTGATAGATGATAGATTAATAGATAGATAGATACATGATAGATGAATAGATGGATGGATGGATGGATGGATGGATGGATGGATGGATGGATGATAAAGAGAGAAAGAGAGAGAAACAGACAGAATCTCTCATGCCAAGGCAGGGTTTCTCAACCTCAGCACTGCTGACATTTGGGCTGGATGATTCTCTGTGGTAGGGGCATCCTGGGCACCGTAGGGTGTTTCCCCTACCAGACGCCAGTAGAACCCCTCCTGCAATTGTGACAACCCAAACCAACCCCAGACAGGGTGAGCCACGTTCCTCCCCAGGCAAGAACCCCTGCTGCAGTCAAGGGAGAGTGAGTGCGTGCTCTCTGCTCTGCTCCACAGGCATGGATGCTGATGATGGGTACCGTGTCCTCCTGTGGAACGGGGGATCGGGCGGACTCCCCGTGAATGAAACCACGTTTGCCAGAATCCTGCAGCAGCAAGGTTATGCAACCGGCCTCATAGGTACTCATATGGTTCAAGGGGATGGAGAATCAACCATCGAAAGCACCTGTTTCCCAACAAGGCAAAAACATCACATGTCAGAACCAAAATAGGGTGCTGACCCCGTCTGGTCTCTCTTGGATTGGTCACATTGTTGGAACTTCTGTCATTGACAAGCAATTTTAATTCAACATCTTGTGAGATTTGCCTCTTTCCTCCCGTTCCCAGGCTTTGTATTAGGGGCTGGTCTCATAGGCACCCACTGCCTGGCACCCCCCAAAACTCCAGCCTCCGTCAGGAAAGCAGGTGTTCAGCAAAACCACATTGTGCAAACATTTTAGACACAGAGCCACACTTACTATTTAGGGAATGATGGGAATCCTCTGGAGAGCCGATTGTCACACATCATTAGCAAGGGCCAACCTTTGTAAGACCACCTGTCTGAGAACAGTACTCTGACACCTGCTAGGTGACTTCTAAGCAGAGGGGCGCCCACCTGTCATGGACCACATGCTTGTGACCGCTTTCGTTCCTTGCTTCAGCCTGTGTGTTTAGAAGTGGCATCCCGTCTTAGAGGCATCAGAGGCCCGGGGACGAGGGCGTCTTCCCCAACCCCTTGGTCAAGGGAGGGCTGGGTCGGGTCTGTGTGCAGGGGGTCCCATTTGATTCCTCACCAGCTCTTCCACACTCAGAGTCACTGTTGAGTTCAGAAGGGACGATGACACCCCCACTGTGTCAGGGCGGTGATTGGCTGGAGGGGTGGGGAATCACCCTTACCCCCCTTTAAAATGTCCTGCTACTTTAGAAATAGAGATTGGGTAGATATACTTCCCACAGAGCTGGAGGCTGAGAAGTCCAAGATCCAGAGTCCGTGTCTGGTGAGGACCCTCATCCTGCCTCACAGGTGACTGTCTTCTCTCTGTGTCCTCACATGTGAGAAGAAGGGCTGAGGATCTCTCTGGGGGCACCGATCCCATTCACGGGGCCTCCACCCTGAGGGTCTGCTCTCATCTCCAAGGCCCCACCTCCAAATTCCATCCACCTCAGGGTCAGGTCTCAACATAGGAATTTCGGGAAGACACAGATACTCAGAATATAGCATATCCCATTTTCAAAGACATTTTCAAGGACTTTGTACACATCTGCTCTATCACCTATATTTCTCTTTCCAGTCCTAAGAAGTAGAGCAAAGCTTCTTAGCCACCCAAATTGACTGGAACTTTCCATTACCAACTCACCACCGTCGGGTCAATGTCCTTGACCCCCACAGCCACCCAGGTCTCTCCTACTCTGTGGGTGGAATCGTGTTTAAAATTAGGTGAGTAGGTTTATTTGGTGTTTACTGGACTTGCAGACCTGTTTATCGGTTTGTTCTGTGCAACTTTATTCTTCTGGTGCACACACCCCATCTATATCCAGACAAGGCTGTTCTTCACATTCCACGTGGTAGAAAGTGGACAAGATGGAGACCATGCTGTATGCTTTTCTTCTCCACCTACCTACCCCATGTCAGCATTTTCACTTCTTAAATGGAAGCAGGCACGTAAAGGGATGTCCCTGGGCTTGGAACTAAAACCAGTCCTACAAGTTCTGAAGACGCTTCGTGAGTCACGGGAGGGAAGAGCAGGGCGGGACCCAGTTTAACCTCTGCACCTGGGAAATTAGGGCAAACAGTACCTTGGACCCTTTCCTGTTCTATCTTGTAGCTAAATTAAAGCTGGCTGAGCATCTGGAGATAACCCAATTCTTGTATAACCTGCCAGAATTTGATATATGGGCTTCCTCATGTTCCATCTCAATGATATTATAAAATTACTGCCTTTGGAAAAAATCTATTATAAGCAATTCTTGCTTACTAGTTAGTGGAGTGAGTCACTTCCTTCTGCTGTATCATACGATTATTCTAGAGCCAGCTCCTGTTATCAAGTAGTTGTCTTTTAAGTAAGAAATATCGTAAGTGATATTTTCTGAGTGATTTAATAGCAGAATAGTGTAGGGTTGCAAACTTGTAATTCCCGACAGCCCAGAAAACCTTAAACCTTTAATCTTTTGCTTTAAACCTTTAATCTCTTGATAACGATCATGACCTCCATACGTTTGTTCGGTATTTGCAAAGTGCAGTGTAACCATTTAAAAACACACCAGTATCAAACACATTCATTTTATTCCTTTCTATCTCCAATTTGTATCATGTTCCTTTTCTATTTCAGATTTTGCTGTTTGCATACCTTCATTTTCATTGGAGCATCCAAATTATTGAGGTGATTGGTATCAGACAGAGTGCCTTCCCTGTGTCTTCTTGTTTAACTTCTCGCTCTTATTTTCAGGAAAATGGCACCAGGGTGTGAACTGTGAACTCCGCACCGACCACTGCCACCACCCACTGAACCACGGATTTGACTATTTTTATGGCATGCCTTTCACGCTTGTGAATGACTGTCAGCCAGGCAGGCCCCCGGGACTGGACGCCGCGACTAGAAGCAGGCTGTGGCATTATACCCAGATGGCGGCACTGGGGGTCCTGACCGTTGCTGTTGGCAAGACTTGCGGGTTAATCTCTGTGTCCTGGAAGGTAGTCCTGGGCGCAGCCAGCCTCGTCTTCCTCTTCTTTGTCTCCTGGTACGCCAGCTTTGGGTTTGTGCGTCGTTGGAACTGTATCGTGATGAGAAACCATGACGTCACAGAGCAGCCCATGGTTTTGGAGAGAGCGGCGAGTCTCATGCTGCACGAGGCAATTTCCTATATTGAAAGGTAATCCCACTTTTAAAGAGGAGGTGAGTTCTCATAGCCCCTGAGTCTCTTTATCATCTTTGGAATTTCTTAAACCAGCCCTGATGGGGAGGTGAGTTTCAAGGACTCAAATGGATCAAATGCTGTTGAAACAGGATCAAATACAGGTGTCATCGTGTCTGAAGGATGTTTTTCTTCTCTCAGAAATAAGCACAGGCCATTCCTTCTGTTCGTGTCCTTGCTGCATGTACACATTCCCCTGGTAACTACAAAACAGTTTCTTGGAAAAAGCCGGCACGGCTTATATGGCGACAACGTGGAGGAGATGGATTGGCTTGTAGGTAAGTCAAGGCACAGCTGTGCTTCATTTAGTCTCACCACTGAACTTTGGTAACAGATGGGCCACCTCACTCTGAGCCAAGCTGCAATAAAGAATAAGAGAAAAGGCAAAGAATAGGGAGAAAGTTTCCCATATCATTCATGTGCTCCTTCAGCACTTCCGATCCCTCAGCCTACTTCTGCACAAAATCATCCTACAAAGTGTATTATTTAAAGCCATCATGAGGGGCACCTGGGTGGCTCAGGCGGTGAAGCGTCTGCCTTGGGCTCAGGTCATGAGCTCGGGTCCTGGGATCGAGCCCCACATCGGGCTCCCTGCCCAGTGGGGAGTCTGCTTCTCCCTCTCCCTCTGCTCCTCCCCCATCTCTGTGCTCAAATAAATAAATAAAATCTTAAAAAAAAATAATAAAGCCATCATGAGACATTGCAGAAAGTGAAGCAAGAACTCTGTCATTCAGGGCAACAGACCAACTTCACTACGGCCTGGAGAAAACCTGGAGAGATCCAGCGAGATTATAGATTGTTTTTTTCACACTGAAGTATAGTTGATACATAGTGTTACCTTAGTTTCAAGTGTATATAGATTCTTAAAAGAATGTAGACATCTAAATCCTTGCAGGATCTGAGGGCTTATCCTGGGAGAAGCATAGGGCTACAGTAGACCAAGTAAAGAGGCAAACAACCCCAAAATGGGAGGGTAGATTACATCATGCTTTAAAAACATGCATTTCCACTGCTGTACATGCCCGAGTGGTGTAAAATCTTTACTTTCAGTGCTTTAGATGTGCATTTGGTCTCCGTAGATAAAGCAAGTGCTTGGCTTGTAGATGGCTCGGCTCTCCTGAGCCTTGGCCCCCGTGTGCCAACACGCACAGATGGATGCTCACAGCTCTGGCTTCCTCCCGTCTCAACGGGGTTGTCCCATCAAACCCTTTCTCACCACGTTCCCACCCCCATGCACTCATTATGGACACACGTATGCATGCCAACAGTGCCCATTCAGAACACTCCATTGCTGGCATATTGGCTTTAGGCGTTTATTCTGTTTTCCATATTAGTATCACTAATGATCACTAGTGATACCTCTGTAAACAAGATTCTGAATCCTGTGGTATCAGGAAAATCAGATAGGGGTTCACACTTTGTGATCACATTCATAACGACAATCTCCTGGTGAGTGCAGAGTCCCCTTATGGGACTTTCTAGCAAGAAAGGGCAAATCTGGGTTGAATTCACTGATGCTGTTTCATTGGCTCTGTCCTGAATCGTTCTATTTCTCTTAAAGGTGAAATCCTTAAAGCCGTTGAAGTAAACGGTTTGAAAAACATGACATTCACGTATTTTACCTCTGATCATGGAGGACATTTGGAGGCAAGGGACGAACGTGGCCAGCTGGGGGGATGGAATGGAATATTCAGAGGTGAGACCAATGCATACTGGGGGTTAAAAGTCAGATATGTGACCCACCAAATGATTCCCAGTGATACAGGCTGGAGAGCAAGCAGAAGGGGAAAAGAGTCTGTGCTTTCAAAGGGGGATTTTCTTGAGCAGCTCCTATACACCAAGTTCTATCCAGATGCCAAGAGAGAGAAAAAAAGACACCTGCGCTTCCCTTAAAGAACTCACATTTTAGTAGAAGAGTGAGGTATACCAATAAATAATTAAGGTAAAATTGAAATAAATGCCATCCTAAATCAAAGGTAGCACAGTAACCATAACCTTAGTTATATGTGTCCCCGTATTCCACAATATCATGCGAGATTTAGGGCGTGATACCTTTATATTGTCATCTTAAAAGTCTGATACAGTTGTTCTGCATGATTCATGGATTCCATATTTATGAATTCGTTCACTTGCTAAAATGTATCTGTAACCCCCAAAATCAATACTTGCAATGCCTTTGTACTCATTTGAACAGCAGTAAAAATATTAGTCGCCTGACATGCATGTTCTCAACTAAGGTTGGGTGACGTAACCCTGTGCCTACAATTTCATCTCTCAGACTATAAACATTTTCACAGACTCTTTAGTGGCCACGTTTTTATAGTTTTGTTTGCTTTTTGTTGGTGACTTTGCTACTTCAAATGGCTCCCAATCGTAGTCCTGAAGGGCTGTTCCCTGTTTCCAAGGGCAAGAAGCTTGCGATGTGCCTTAGAGAGAAAATAGGTGTGTTAGATTGGCTTCGTCCAGACAGGAATTCTAGCGCTGTTGGCCATGAGTCCAATGCGAATGAATCACAACATCTACTCAATAAGGAGTCTAAACCAAAACACACAGAAATATACTGATTAGCTGATGAAAATACGGGGACCAGAGTCTCCCTGGAACTGAGCCCTATATTACACCTGAGAGTCGTGGTTCAGTATGAGCTAGCTGTTTGTGGTGACTTTGTAGAACATCACTCCAGGGAATGAGAGTCGACTGTATATGTTCCAATGACTTGGAAGTGGCTTTTTCCTCCAATCCTCCATATACATCCCCAAGCTGTAGAGTAGATTCTCATCATTCCCGGTGGTGTGTTCTACAAACAGCCTACCCCTTGGTTTCTGACTGTGGGACCCAGAACAGAGTACCCGCCAAGCCACGCCTGACTCCCAACATGCAGAAGGGAGACCTGATACACAGGCGTGAGGCTGCCGATTTGCAGTAACTTGTTACGCAGCAGTACAAAACAAAGGCAAGCCCATTACAATTTTTGAGCTGCAACAAAGAAGCATTTATTTAGCAAGATTCTGAACACATCCCTCCCTGTTTACAACTCTCCTTCTGTAACATAGGATTGCTTCGATTTCCATACCCGGAGTTTAGGAAGTGGAAGCCCATTGTCTAATGCTCAATATTTATGTGCATTTCCCAAAGAGCCAACCTGGACCCCAGCTCACTGCTAAGGGTCCCAGAAATGAAGAAGAACCAGGAAAAGGGGTAAAGGAACAGGTGTATGGTATGGCGAGCAGGTGGGAGAGGAAGAGATGGTATGGCGAGCAGGTGGGAGAGGAAGAGATGGTATGGCGAGCAGGTGGGAGAGGAAGAGATGGTATGGCGAGCAGGTGGGAGAGGAGGAGATGGTATGGCGAGCAGGTGGGAGAGGAGGAGAAGGGGGTCCAAGATCCAATTCCTAGTCCTTTCAGAAAGAAAAAGGACGGAGCAAGACGGGGACTATGAACCATGAGCGGTGTGAAATCCCAGGGCCAGTTACAGCTCTGAAGCCACGCATTGCACACCCCGTGTGTTCCCGTGGTCACAAAGACCCGCTGAATCTCAAGAGGAGAGCATATGGGCTCCACGTGCGCACAGGGAAGTGACGAGGTTCTGGGATTATTGCTGCAAATATTTGGGGGAAATGCAGGCTGCCACCGTGTGTGATTATGTGTGGGGGTGCCCAGGTACATACGCACAGACGGACAGGTGCACCCAGGGGGGTGTGTGGATGGGACCATCTCCTGGAGAATTCTAATGGTGTTTACTTACAGGTGGCAAAGGGATGGGGGGCTGGGAAGGCGGGATCCGCGTCCCGGCGATCTTCCGCTGGCCTGGGGTGCTGCCGGCCGGCCGAGTGATCCACGAGCCCACCAGCCTGATGGATGTTTTCCCCACCGTGGTCCAGCTGGGGGGCGGCGAGGTGCCCCAGGACAGGTACACATGTAATGAGATCTCCGTCCTCCCGAGTTCCTCACGGCTGTCCTTTTACTATTTTACACGTAGGGGAGAAACCCTACCACAGTGTGAGAACACGCGGAAAGTTCTCACATCCTCAAATGTAGGGGACAGCCTAAGGCAAAATAATCATACTCACTTAAACGCGATTAAATAAAATATTGGGTCCATCTACTCATTTTGCCACTTTGGTAAAATTTTATAACTCAGCACAACAACGAGGAGATGGAAGCATTAGAAGTCAACCCATTGAAACACATCTCCCTGTGATTTCCTGAGATGCACTCTTGCCTGTATGTTGATGAGTGACAGCATGCTTTAGAAATGATTTATCACCTCAATATTAGCACAGAACCAAAGACTCTTGCAAATACAAGATAAAAACAAGGCAGTAAATATTTTGATAATGATTTCGTTTCACTCCATTTAAGGGAACAAATAAATACTCCTGTATAAGAGAGACAGAACCAATAGTCATATGTGCAGGTGTCTGTGTGTTTATAAAATAAGACATATATCTTAAGAATTGGCTCATGCAGTTGTGGAGGCCGATGAATTGAAATCCTTATGTCAGGCCAGTGGGCTGCAAACCCAGGCAGAATTTCCCTGTTACAGTCTCAAGGCAGAATTCCACCTTCTCTGGGAAACCTCAGTCTTTGCTCTTGGCTGCCGTCAACTGATTCTCTGAGGCCCACCTTCACTGTGAAGGGGGCTCTGCTTTGCTCAGAGTGCACTGATGATGGATGTTAACAGTATCCAAAAAAATGCCTTCACAGCAACACTCAGACTGGCGTTTCACCAAATCACGAAGCACCATGACCCAGCCGAGTGGGCACAGAAAACAGAACCACCATAATTAGGGTATAATTAAAATAAAAGTGTTCTACAACCGTGAGGGAAAATACTACATTTGTACATTAAGTTCAGATTGAGGACTTTTTGTTAAAAATATGGTCATGTGGCCATGACTGGCAAGGTTGGGATGGTGTTTATATGTCTGTGAGCTCACTGTGTCTGTAGCACGGCATAACCAAATGACCCCACAACTTAGTGACTTTGTGTTTAGAAACAGTGACGTGCATCTTGCTCAACAACTTGCAATCTGGACAGAGTTGGGGAGACAGCTCATCTCTGCTCCTCTTGCCCCATAGCAGGGGCCCTTACAAGCTTGGAGGTTCACTTTCAGGTGCAACGCAGCCTGAGCGGCCTTCGCCTGATTCCTTCTTGTGTCTCTTTACTGAATCAGGGTGATCGATGGCCGTAGCCTGGTGCCCTTGCTTCAAGGGGCTGCTGAGCACTCTGCACATGAGTTCCTGTTTCATTACTGTGGAAAGTATCTGCATGCAGCACGCTGGCATGAGAAGGACAGTGAGTACATGCCTTTTCCCAGTGCGGGGGAGGAGCGGTTGCATTAGTGAGGGTTCCCCCTGAGAAACAGAACCAAGAGTGTGTGGGATGGACGGATGGATGGATGGATGGATGGAGGGAGGGAAGGTGGATGGATGGGTAGATGCATGGATAAGTGGATGGATGGATGGATGGATGGATGGACACATGGATGGATGGATGGATGGAAGGTGGATGCATGTGTAGATGCATGGATAAGTGGTTGGATGGATGGATGGATGGACACATGGATGGACACATGAATGGATGGATGGATGGATGGATGGACACATGGATGGACACATGGATG